TTCTTTTTTCTTTTTTTGTGGTAGGATTGTGGTTTTTTTTTTTCAATAGCACTAAGAAAAAAATTTATTTCACCATGTGCATGCAAGTTTGAGATCTATGCAGTGCGTGCAATATACCCATATAGATAAATTTTAAGGAATTCTTAGTGTAAAATAGGGAATAACGAAACACATTAAATTCAATGTAACAATGTTTTCTGTAATTTGGAAGGATTTTTACCTTTTCTCTTCATTTTAAGCCGTTAGTTGAGATACACTAGTCTTTTGATCTAGAACCAAATCAAATGTTGGAAGCATGCGCAGAATGCAGAAAATGATAATTAAAAGTTCAAATCTCGTAATGAGGGAAGTGATAAACTGCCTAGATGGGAAGATAATTGTTTTAGGGATCATTACGGTAATGTCAGGAAGTTGATTCAAAGAGTTCATGGTGAAAGTATAGTGACTTTGAAGCATCTATAGTAGAATATCATGACTTATAAATATAGAGGTATATATGTAGAAGTCTATCTTCTCAAAGAAAAGAAAAAAGTGTAGAAGTGTAATTTTGTAAAAACATACTAGTCGATCAATGCTCTTTTTTTTTCTTTTGTCTTTTTTCTGGATAACGTGGTGTTGATTAAATTCTCATTGTGGTAACTGGTGATCTACTTCATTCTTCAGTGGAATAATTGTGTTAGGGATCATCTAAAGTGCGATTAAATTCTGTAACTCTTGGTAGTGCATTTGAGACGCCAGAATTTTGGTTATATGTGTTAGAGGCAGTGTGTCCAAATTAGTTTGTGATGTAAGAATTACTTTGATTAGTAAACTGTAAAGGAAAATGGGGTAATGTGTTTAAAAAGGCTGTGGATATTAACTGCTTTAGTTCAAAGTAATTTATTATGGATTGATTATTCTAGTGTGTTCTATATATATTTTCCTTACAATATGTATACTAAACTGTAGGTTCAAGGAAACTCGTTCCAAAAGAAGGTGTCAATTCTCTTTGGGATTGGCCATGCTGTGGAGGTAAGCAATCTATATTATCAAACATGTTGCGGTGTAATATCCTCTGATATGTTTGTGCAAAATGCTTTGTAATAAATTGTCTAGTATATACAAAGGATCCAGGACCATATTATGTCTAAAGATTCTCGTAACCCCATTCATAGTTCTTCAATAAATAAAAAACATAGGCTACACAGTTCTAGGGGTTCACCTTATAATTCAATATTCTTACCAGCACCTCTCCAATCTATTAAACTAAAAGAAAAAAAACAATAAATCTCTGTTAACTATGCTAAATACCTCTGGGTATTATAAAGTTGCGGTATTATAAAGTTGCAATATGGTAAGGAAGTGGAGTACTCTAAGGCTTCAACCTTTTGTTTTCTTCCTCATTTTTTTGGACCCGAGCAGCCCATTTGGAGGGGGTGGGGTTGAGGGTTCTGGAATGATAATTGAAGTGGTGAGTTTGTAGACACATCACATGTGCTCAGCTCACTCTATTGGAACTTCTCAAATTACAAGTTGATTACTGAAATCATGTTTTATTTATAACAGTTTGAAATGATTTAACTACATTAAGGGTAGAAATCTGTCAAATTTCTTAATTTTTTTTAGCATTACCATATATTATCCTTCTGTAATTCACGGAGAAAGGATCCCTGTTGCTGACCCAGGACAAGTCCAGTGGGAATCAAGGAGGACCAAGGCAAAGAGCTGAAGCCTTAGCTGCTTTATCATCTGCATTCAATCCATCCTCCGGAAAATTATCCCATACGGTAATTAAAATTGGTTGTGCCAGTAGTTCCTTCCATGAATCAATACTAGTCTTGCTTTATTGTTTTTGTTTCTCAGCACCTCTTCGTTTTTATATTCTTTTATGATCCATGCTCAATAAAATTGTCTGCTACATGATGATGGTTTGGAATGTGTTCCAAGGCCTCATATTCAATAATTCAACTTCCATGCAATCACAGGGCCAGGATAAGTCCAATGGATCAAGTGAAGGAGGGCCAAGGCAAAGAGCAGAAGCTTTAGCTGCTTTATCTTCTGCATTTAGTTCATCCTCTGGAACCAAACCTTCTCTTCCCAAGCCTTCTGCAACGGGTCAAGGATCACAAAGAGCTGCAGCAGTTGCTGCGCTTTCAAATGTTCTTAAAGCTGAAAAGACTCGGCTGACACCCGATGCCTCTCCTGTGCAAAGTCCTCCCTCAGAAACTAGTGCTTCTGGTAAGGAAAGAAGAAATACTTCTGATTACCTACATGAAATTCTATGCATGTTAGAGAATGGTTCTTTCTGTAATTTCTTTTATCCTGACCCCAATAAAAGCCACTAGTCCTAGGCAAGCAAGGCCTGAAATTGATTGATGGGCTAGTAGGGTTTCTGGTAGGCAGCTGGGCTTTGAAGAAGCCCACCCCAATTTGCGTAGAACTCACATCATTTGTAAGGAACTTGAATGAGGGTTATTGTTCTTTCTTTTGGTTGTCTAAGTTAGTGGTAGGGATGCTATTTTAAAATTCAATTTTGATAGATATCTGGAATTGTGACTTATATCTCTCCACTGCTTTCTACTTCATACAATAGTGACCTGTAAATCATTTCGTCTCTGTTAGACAACATAGTTAACCCTACTTTTGAGTTATATGATATAATTTAAAAGGCTGTATACCAACAAAGTGCAAGCTCTTTTTTCTAAAACTAGGAATTAGTCCTAAGCATGATAGATGCTAGCCCTAACCTCAGATCTGTTGCTTCTTGACAATTTTGACTTTGTTCTCGTGAATCTGAAACTGTATAACTTTTGTTACACTTGGGTACTTGCAGCTGAAGCAAAAAGTGAAAATGCTTTCTCTGAAACAGATGGTTTTCAGGAAGTTCCTGAAGTCAAGGAGACTGGTGAAGCACCTGCATCTGAAAGCAATGGGGATGATTCAGAACCAAAGCAAGAGACAGTCCAGGATGAGATTGATAGTGAAAGTAGTCAAAGTACTTTCAGTTATGACCAACTAAGGGCTAAATCGGAAAATCCAGTAACCGGCATTGATTTTAAGAGAAGAGAGGTTGATCTTTTGTGAATCTTTTCATTTCATCAGTATATGTTTTGAAATCATAGTGACATTTCCTCTGTTTGATTTTTCAGGCTTATCTATCAGATGAGGAGTTTCAGACCATATTTGGGATGATGAAAGATGCATTCTATCGACTGCCGAAATGGAAGCAAGACATGCAGAAGAAGAAAGCCGATTTGTTCTAGAGGCTGAAATTCGTTAGAATGAGTGCTTTTTCTGTGTTTATTTGCCTCCTAACTTACAATTCATTCATTTTGATCAATTCTTCTCTGTGGGGGTAATTGTGGGTTTTCTGGTACGTGATGGTGGTGCCTGGATTTCTGTCTAGCACTTTGCTCTTGATGAACATAGCGTTGTGGTTAGTATCGTTATTGATTGAGATGCTGCCTAAAGAGTGATTTTTATCTTATTTTATCTTTCTTAACTGCTGCTGGCTCTTGTAGTGATCACAGATGATAGTCTTATGGACAGCACGCAGGTCAAATTCTTTTATTTGCTCCATATGTATTTCATTTTGGGGTTTCCCCAACTATTTTTTTTATTTTATTTTTTAGTTTGTTAAAAGGGGGGTTGTATATGTAATACATTTGTATTTTATATACTTGTGACCATTATAAAGGAATGGGAAATTGCTTGTGGTTTGCAATTTATTGGGATTATACATTGAACTTGCCGCTTATATTTTTATGAAAATAAAATCATCTCTAAACATATTAGATAAGAAGTTATAATTAATGGCATGTTTATTTATTGGAATGGGTATGAGAAGAAAAGAAACTATTTCAATATCTGACTTCTCTGCGATTACTAGACGTAATGAACCAAAAAATATATGGGTCTTACCTTAAAATTAGTAGTTGATCCAACGAATTCCTAACTTTTTGTGTGTACTAAGTTCTCCGATTTCTTACTTGGACATGTTTTTGTTGATCACCTTAATTCAAGGTGTATTTTCACCATCCTTACTTGATACGTGTTCATAGACATAATCATAGTTGACTTCTTACTTTGTATTTATGGAACCATGGTTATGTATCAAGTGTTGAGAAAAGTGAATATAAAGCTCCCATAATTGTTTGGGATAACGAGAGTTCCCGAGAATGATATTTTTTTTTTTTTGGTCTGAACCACGAGGTGGTCCTGGATGGGCTCCAACTATGGATGGCACCTTTAAGCCTTAACCACAACCCAGACTAATCCCCGTTCACACCGGGTCGGCCCGTAAGGAGTAAAGTGCTGGCCAAAGTGGTGACTCCATACGAGAGCAGGGATCGAACCCCTGACCTCTCTTAAGGAATGAGAGTGCCGAACCACTCACACCAACCACCTTGGTTGAGAATGATATTGAATTTGCATAATGTTATTATATTGGTTTTCTGAATAAATAAAAAAACATTATAATTGTAAAATCCTAGAAGAAAAAAAACCATTGCAACCCACTCCCAGAAATTCAATTACAAAAGGGATGTAACACATGGTCAAATAGCTGTTCAAATATTGTACACGGTTCTGAATATTTTGTATAAACTAGCATCCCAGGATGGGATGAACTTGACCATCCTTGTGGCGTACAGAACGTTGTTTGGTGCTGCTACAATGGTAGAAATGTATCTTCCTGCCTCTTAATCATTTCATTTTAGGCTGATCTCACTACAGATTGAAATTAATATTATAGTTATTCTCAATTTACAGAGACGACATAACAAACCTAACATGGATGGTACTGCTCAAAGCTTTTATCTGCAGGCTACTTGGGTAACTAATTTTTATTATTCTTATGTTAAAAGTAAATCGAACGCATTAAAACCTTTCAAACCTAAAAATACCCAACTTAGACCCATTTAATTCCATGATGAATTTTTGACAATAAAACTGATTCTTTCGTCTTCTTTTGACTGAGATGAACCAATTTTGCATGAATCTGAAGGAGGACACGAAGTGAATTCACAAATTTATCCGTTAACCTTGATTTAATTCTCATAATACAAGAGTATTAAACAACTTAAGCTATGCAAATTAAACATTATCCTAGACGATAGACCCCAAGCTGCTCACAAGATCTGGAGACTCTGAACCATGTTGTTTATTTGAGTTCAAAATACTTAACATTCATATCATCAGGGAAGAAGCAGAATCTTTCCAATGTGCTTGCTACTTTCCATGAGCAGGTGAGCCTCTGCTGCTTCAGATAATGGAAAATACTTGTAGACCACAGGTTTCACCTTGCCAGCCACAATTGCAGGCCACACATTGTTTTCCACCTCCCTAACAATCGCTGCTTTGTTTTCTGGACTTCTGTATCGCAAGCCGGCAGCTTGGATGGTAAGGCGCTTCGAAAGCACAACGCGAAGATCTATTTCTGTAACAGCACCACCCATCGTCCCAATAACAAAAAGCCTCCCATCAAAACTTAAGCTGTCAAGGTTCCGCCGAAAGTACTCTGCCCCTATGATATCCAAGATAACATCAACACCCTTGCCACCCGTTTCTTCCTTTACCCGCGCAACAAAATCCTCCGTCTTGTAATTGATGCATACATCAGCTCCAAGATTCTTGCAAAAAGCCAACTTTTCCTCACTTCCTGCTGTGACAAACACCTTTGCTCCCCAGTATTTAGCCATCTGAATTGCAAATGTACCAATTCCACTGGAGCCCCCATGAACCAAAAATGTTTCGCCAGCAGATAGCCTACTCATCATAAACACAGTCGACCAAACAGTGCATGAAACCTCGGGAAAACTAGCAGCATCCTGCAAAGAAACACCAGGTGGAGCAAGAAGGACTTGTCCAGCTGGAACTGCCACCTTCTCAGCATACCCTCCTCCGCTAAGAAGAGCACACACCTTGTCACCGACTTGCCAGCGGGAGACTTGCTTCCCAACGGCCTCAATGGTTCCAGAACATTCGAGACCCAGGTATGGGCTGGAACCTGGGGGTGGTGGGTACATGCCCTTCCTCTGAAGAATATCGGCTCGATTCAGAGCAGTGGCCTCAACTTTTATTAGGACCTCATTGTCTTTGAGTTCTGGGTCTTCAACTTCATGTAGTTGGAGGACCTCTGGTCCACCTGGAGTGGTTATCACTACAGCCTTCATTGATGTTGCACCCTTTCTTTTTCTCTCTCTTGGACTTGATCTTCCACTGGAGGGCACTCCACAAACGATTCCTAAGTAAACAGGACAGAATACAAGTGTGATGAAAGAATTTAATAATACAAATCCAAAACCTCATCTATAACTCTTGATAAATTAGAATAGACCATGAGTTTTTTGTCTAGGAATATAAAAGTTTTGAAAGGCCATTGTAATTTGTAATATATGCAATATGGACCAGTTATTTCTGTAATTCGGAAAGAGAACAAAAATAGAGAGAAAATGCACCTCAACATTCTGAAAGGAAGTAGTCTAATGAATAGAGAGAGCCCAAACAACACTAAAACCCACTGAAAAACCATAACTACAGAACTCAACCAAAAGAATGGGGCAGCTTGGGTTTGATTTGGTGGTTTCAGTGAGGATTGAGGTGTGGGGATGTACTCAAAAAGATTACAGGCTTTTAACTGGAAACATAAAATAATAAAAGAAGACCTTTGCACTTGCGTTATCCAATACAGTTCTCTAAATTTGTAGGACTAAATAATCCTATCCACTTCAAACAATCCTCCCAAATTCCTCCCTGTTGCATCGGCAAAGCAACTTCCTCGCTTTATCATCCATGAAAGGCATCAACTGCATATTTACTAAGAACTCTTTACATAAATAATTTTGAATGGACTTTTAAGAAACCATTGATAATCTCTCACTCTCCCACAAACCAATTGAAGGAAGTTGAGGTTCCACATCCCAAAACCAATTAGCAACAGGGGGAGTAGCTCAACTCCTTATAATCCCCTTCACATTCTCACACGCCCCCTTCACGTGTGGCGAATTTTCAAGCCTAATACGTGGACAACACATTTTGGGTGACGTGAAGCACGTGTAGCTGTTGGGCTTTCACACGTGGGCTAACCCGCTCTGAAATCATGAAGGAAGTTGAGGTTCTGCCCCAAAACCAATTGGCTATGGGGGGAGTAGCTCAATTCCTTAGCCCCCCCCCCCCCCCCCCCCCAGCGAAGTTTGGACCTCTAGCGCAACAAAATCAGCCCAGGCAAGCCCTGGGTCCCACCAGCCAGGGCAAGCCCATGGGCAATTCTTGACTGGGCTCAAGCTTGAAGGCACTGATGTCAGCGTGACGTCAACCCTGACAGAACCCAATACCTAACAATTTTATTCACTTTCCACACCAAATCTTCATACAAACTCTTCTCCTTTTTTACTTTCCACTCACATTTTTCTACTACTTTCCATTTGTATCAAAAAACAAATGGTCTCTTATGTCAAAGCCGGAGGCGCATGGACAACTCAAGAAGATATTGTGTTGTGTGACTGTTGGGTGAAAGTTAGTCATTGCCCTGTCACAGGCAATAAGATGAAGTTCGCTCATATGTGGAGAAAAATTCATGGAGAATTTTGTGAAAGATCGAGTTTGCCTCGGATTGAAATGACCTTGGCTAGTAGATGGAAAATTCTGAATAAAGAGTTAGGGAAATTTAGAGATGCCTCGGAGGTCCTTAGCCGTAGGTTTGTGAAGGTACTCCCTCTTGTAGAGATTTGCTACTGCATCACAGAATCTCACCAAGCACTCTAGGATATTTGATTTTCCCATCCGCGCAATCTCATCGACCTGCTCTGCAAATGCCCCGTAAGCAAGCATCTGCAAAGCAGCTGTAAGTTTTTGCTCCGGAAGAAGACTCAAAACCCTAACAGCATCTTACAAATATCATGCATGATTTTTTGGAACAAATGTGGCTGCATCCTATATCTCTCTCGAAACTTAGAAACATGATATAACGAATTTAGGATAAAATAATCCTCCAAGAGATTCTTACCCCGAGACTCCCTACGTCTGTCCACATTCGTGGCACGACGACGACGGTGTCTCAATCTTCTTCAGCACGTCTACGCCAGATTTCTTCCCTTTCTTTCTGTTGCCTCTCCAACACCCTCCTCAAGTTTGACATTGAGAGTAGAATGTGTTTTGTAAAATCTAAGAAATGAAGGAATAGATAAGAGATGGTGTGAAAGGTATGAGTTGATGGTGTAGTTTTATAGAGAGATTCAGAAGATAGAGATGACATGTGGCACAATTTTAGAGGGTGAAAATTTTATTTAAAATATGATATTATAATTTATTAAAAATATCTGAAAATCTTATCTGACATAGAACACGTGGCACAATTTTAGAGGGTGAAAAT